TTCATGTGCTTGATCACAAATGACTACAATATGATGATAGCTACGAGGATGTGACATGTAGTTGATGAAATGGTGATCTTGATGATGTCCTATTGTTGAGATGATGATAAGCCGATTGGAATGATGATGGTGATATGATGACCAGTTGTAAGATGGCATGATGAGAACCTGTAGTGATGTGTCCAGCTTTGAAGATGATGGTGTGGCATGTAATGGATGACCAGCTATGATAATCCCATGTCAAAATGGTGAGAACCTGTTGTTCAAGAAGAAAAGAGCCTCTGTGGGCTTGTATTGTAATAAAAATGGGCCAACACAGGGTAGATTGAATTTAGGCCAAAATAGGCCACCAATAGACCTCATTGCATCAACTAAGTCTCAATGGGCTAGCTTCTTCAACCAATACGAAATGGGCCACAATAGGCAAATCTAAAAAAGGGCCAACAACGGCCAAAAAAGACCTCAATTGGTCAATGAAATGCCTTAGTGGGCTTCTTTTTTTTTCTTTTGAAATAGATCTCTAAATTCTAAGACATGAAGATCCTTTCTTTAAATTCCGAAGTTGCAATCGGAGTTGGAGCACTCGTACACAAGATTAAGACATGAATGCTCAATTGAGGGTTACCCAAACTTCAATCGATGTTCTAAAGCCAATAACTTGTGAGGGGTTACATGGGTTGCCTCAAATGATCATTAGAAATGATTCTGGGTTCTGACGGTGGTTATGCAGAAAAGAATTGATTATGGGTTCTAATGGGTGATGCAGGAAACACTGATCTTCTCTTTCAGCATGCAACTTTATAACAATGAATAGTGGGCAAAGGTGGTGGGCTGGAAGAAACCCTACAGGACAATTAACAAATCCATGAAATGGGTAATGTGGGTTCCTCGGCGAGAGATTGAACCCTCGATTGGAATTCCAATCATCAAAGCCCTGAGGCTGGTGACACGTATTTAAATAGTTCTGAATCTTCTGATTATGACAAAACCCATCATCCTTTCTGTTCCCTCCCCTCTTATTCAATCCATTCCCCCTCTAATTATAGTGGAACTCCATTGGAGAAGAATGATAACGATGCTGGTTATTTTGATGATTGAAGGGCCTCAATGAGTTAACAAGAGCTAGTGTAGAATACATCAACTTAGTGGACGACGGTGATGAAGTAACCTTTTGGTTAGATACATCAACTAAAACGGAAAGCATGAAATTCACAATAGAATAAGACTCTTTATCACTAGAGGAAACCGTCGCACAAGTGATATCGGTAGAGACGGGCCCAACATTGATACCCAAGAATTCAACCACCATCAAAGCTGGACTCTTGCCAGGTATAATCTCTTTTGAAGACGATTCCAGCAATTCACCCTTAGAATGAGATTTCGAAGAAAAAGAATGAGACTATGAGAGGGAGCGGGCCAAGGCGGAAGTATTCAAGACGAGTGTAATTTCAGAGTTAGAAGGAGGCTTAGACTTCCGCTTCCAAGGACTATTGCTGGGGCAGGTCTGTTGGGATAGGGATTAATGGCAGAATCTAGGGTCTTTGAGAAGATCTCTGTCGGACCCGAAACGAGGTTCTCAGAGGGAAAAGGCAAAGACGACAAAGGGACTGGACTACTCATTATTATTTTGGATTCGAGCATGTTGAGAGTCTTGACACTAGATTCTCAGTTCTTTGTGTAAACAGTAAATGGAAAGAAAAGTTAAAAGATGGAGTAAACAAGTCTACGAGAATTGGCTATAAAAAGAAATATGAATGAAAATCTAAATTAAACAAGAGACAGTGGGGACCCAGCTGGTGGCTAGGATTCCGGGGCCACCCACCGGAAACACAGGAAGCACGATGAAAGGCCTCTAGGTTCAAACCTTTGGCTCTGATAACATATTAGAAATAAAGGAAAGTTAGAAAGAATACATTGATGAATGTGATAATTACATCATATTTTAGACTAAAACAGAGATCAAACCTATTTAAACTCGAAATCTTAAACTCTATCTAGGACTCTATGTAGTCTATCTTAATCCAAAGATAACAAATTCTATCTTACTAAGAACTCTTAATATAACTCGATTCAACATCACCCTTATCATAATTGCCCATACATCAAACCTCATCTAAATTCCCTAACATAACCCCTCAAACATATGGGGATCAAAAATCTTTGTGTTTGATCACAAATGACTGCAATATGATGATAGTTGCAAGGATGTGATAAATAGTTGAAGAAATGGCGAACTTGATGTGACAAGATGGCATGATGAGAAGATGTGATGATGAGTAGTTAGTATACTATATATATATGTTGTGTTCAAATATTTAAAATACAAATTGAAACTTACAATAGTTGAGGTTGGAGTATGTCATTTTCCAAACTCTAGATGCAGGATTATCCTAATCACCCAAGTGTTTGGAGGAGAGGAGAGGAGAGGGAGGGGATTGGAAGATCACATCATGTGAAATATATATTCGTCCTAGTTTTGGTTTCTAGACAGCAACATCCTTTGTAACGATACTGTGGTTGAAGCTTATGTTTGTTGTAAGGTCGAAATAGTGGGAAGCATTCACAACTAAAAAAGGTTCTTAGGAAGAGGTGTCCGATTTCCCATGAAATAATTTATTGCAAGGAGATACATCTTGAAGTCGAAAGTAAGCAGTTGGTTCAAAAGATACACCGACGTGTCAAAGGCTTCCATCCAAAAGGTGTTGTTGCTTGAAAAGAACTGGAACAAACATGGAGCTGATGTCCTTTACTCTTATGCCACATTTGTTTTTCGGTAAGTCACTTACCTAGGTAAATGCACTTACCTGGGTAAGTGTTTCCTAGGAAAGACTTACCTGGGTAAATACATTTAACCATGCTATTTTATTTCCCATGTAAATAAGACAATGACAATCTTATCCATAAAAATTTCATTATTAAAAGGGGCATTTTTAGCCCATTCAAGTATTGGCAACTATCCCCTAGATAGGAAAGTTAACTTACCCACCTAAGAGTAGGTATCACTTACCCGTATAAGCGATACCAGGAAAATAAACTTTCACTGGTCTCCACATAAATCTGAAAAATGAACATGAGTTTCTTGGTAATAGGAATCAAAATCCCATTGACCAACTTTCCCTCTTTTCAAAATACAAAAAAAGAACGCCCCCCTTAGAGAAGGCTCGATGGAAGGGACGATTCACATGCAAAAACTGGCAATTTATTGTCACGAACAAAATGAGAAATTGAAGAAAATACAGGATGGCCAAACCTGTGGTGCCACGTACCGAGAAATGCTCATTCACTGGCGCAAGTGCAACTGGAGGAGTTTGTAAAGGTCTCCTTCGGTTTTCCCTTAAAGCAGAGTGATAGAGTGATAGAACCAGTATGTAAGATATGCAAACCCTCTCCATTACCAATTGCACCCGAATCCGGCTGCCAAGCTTTGTCATTGGGAGGGGTATCATGACCACACACTGTAAGTAGAGGAATTCTTGGTCAAATTTGCTACTATATATAGGTGAGTGTTGAATGATTTGGCTTCTAGCAAATTTGACAAGGTGCACCTTTGTAACGATATTGTGGTTGTGAGGCCTGTGGTTTGTCATGCATCCTTCTTCTAGAACTTGTCGTTGTTGTTTTTCTTCTTCATCTTGGAAGCATTGTTTGCAGATATGTAATCTGGTTCAGAGAAGGAATGCAATCTTTCGAGGCGAATTTCTTGGTTAAGGAGTTCTTGCAGTTCATCAAAAGAGAGAGAGAGAGAGAGAGAGCCAGCTTTCGTAGTGATAGCAGTAGTGAAGGCCTCATAGTCTGGGCTGAGGGCATCAATGGCCTGAAAGAATAATAGCTCATATTCAGCAACAGTTTTGAACTTTAAAATAATACAGGCAATCAGCCTTGCTCATAATTCCAGCTAAACTCCCCACCCAAGCTTTAAGAATTTGGTGACATGAATCGTTCGTTCAAGATGTTATATGGGTTCAGACCTATCCGAGCAAGGTACTACCCTATGCTATGGCTTTGGCATATGGTCTCAGTGAAAGAATAAATGATTCACTAGCTCGGTATGAGGTGCCGCCCATTTGGGAATCTTGTCTATCTTTTGTTAACCCACCATTCTAGTGAGAGCTTTTGTCCCTGAAAATAAATATAGGGGCGGATGACGATTGACGAGGGGTATCCATTTAAAAATAAGCTTTATGCTGATTGTTTCAGTACAGATTCCTGAGGAATTCCTTTTCCAGATTGACATATCTGAAGCAAAATCTCTGTTAAGCCTCAGGGCTGAGGTTGAAGTGAATGGAGCATTTATGAGCTCTACATTCCAATTTCTTTCTGGATCAAGGTCAGTTACCCTGACAATTGAATATGTGATCTGGACTTCCCGGAATTGTAGGAACCCAAATACTAGCCAAAAAGAAAAAAACAAGGCACTGAATGAAACAATGTGTCATGTGGATTAAGATGCCAGAGACCATACTGTTTTACCCAAAGAGCCTTAGTTTCCCTGCTGGTAGACCTAGGCCTTTCCCTAGCAGGTCAGGGCATCTGAAACTGCAAACTGTCAACAGAGCTTCTGAGTTGAGATAACTAAGGCTAAATTTGGCTTAAAGGAAAAGTGGGGAAAAGAAAGGAAAGGTAGGGAAACCCATAAAAGGATTAAAAGTTTTCCTAGCTTTCCTTTCCCTACTTTTTTCATTCAAACCAAACATAGCCCAAGTTGATTTTGGACCAGCAATTGCATATGTATGAGAAGAGAGAATATAATGGGAAAAAAATAATGGCGGTCTGGAGTCTGGACGCGAGACCAAAAGCAAGTAAAATGAATTACAAAGATAAAGCATTACATTTTATAGTATTTATTATTTAACCCTGGCAAAGGAAATAGACGCGTTATGAACCTGTGGCCCATTTTCACACGTAACCAATTACTTCTCTTGATTCCATAAACAGTGAATGCACGCAATAAGAAACAAATGTAATTCTTAATAAGTTAATTAACTTGAGAAGGGTGGGGGTATGAGCAATGGGAACTCTTACATGTATATTGAATCTATAGAATAAATGGAACGACTGGACGAAAAGAAATCGTTAATAATAAATGTATAACTTGCACAACTAAATTTCAGGGCCAAAAGACCGACCCTCCTCTCCCTTCCCACTATTTCCAAACCATTTTGCATTTTGGAGTATATTACTATGGACGAAGACAAGTTTACTATAAAAAATAGCACAAGTAACAATGAACCCTTTGATATAATCATCTGCTACGGAACAAATATGAAGCTTAAATAACGATAATTTGTGCAACATGACCACCACCTACATTCCAGTGATGAGTGGGCGACAGCACAGGATTTGTTCAGAAGGAAAAGCTACCCCCACTTTTAACAGCCGTTAATTAGATAAACCCCTCCAATTCCAGGATATCTCTTTTTATCATAAAACTGTTGAGCCAGTTGAGGCAAAACTATCGCCCTTACCAAGCTTTAGTGCTTTAGGATCAATTTCAATGGTTCCCACTGTCAAAATCCTGGATGAAGAATCAAACCTATTAACCTTGACAGGCATTGAACCCACTGTAACGACATCAACAGGTTCAGCTTCCACTGCTTTCACAGATACTGCCGACACTTCAGCATTATCTTCCTTTGGCTTAATGGTCAGAGAACCAACTTTCAACCCACTTGTCACGTCATTTGAATCTTCAAACTCGTGCTTAGGATTGTCATTTCTGATACCAGATGAGTTTGTGGTATCAGAATTCAGGGGAACCTGCTCATTAGTAGTGACCACAGTCTTCCCTGAGCTGTTAGCATCATAAATCTTAGTGGGTGTAATATTTGCTTTCAGAGGCACATCAACCGTAACATTTGTTCTGCTGGGAGGAACAAACGTAGGTATGAAAAAAGAACCATCATAGCTTTTAGTAAGTAGTCTGGCCTTCTCTTCTTGCATAATCTTCTGCCGCTCTTCATAGTACATAAAGTCATCCAGTATAGAAGTCTTCAAAGTGTAATCTTTGAAAATATTCAGCATCTCCATGCCTTGCCTGTAATTTATCTGCAGGTAATCAAAGAATACTCTTTGGTCATACAGCATTAAAACAAGAATCTCATGGACATTTTCCCATGAATTAAGAGGAGTTTGGCAAACATACTCTGAGTCTGAGAGAGAGAGAAAGAGAGACAGGGGGAGGAGAGGATGATGATAATGACAATATCAAATTACAAAACGTGACATTCAGCACAAAGTGCCCTGACTGCCATCTCTCAGACTTGTACTGTACTCTCGCAAACCAGAGATTTTACTATTAAACCAAGGAATAGCAGTAGCTGTCTTAATATACTAGAGATACTTTCAACTTTTCTACACCTCTGATCACCAACCAGCCTTAGCTTTTATGCCAGGAAGGCCACCAAAGCAAAGCAAATTCAATGTCAACAAAAACTAAGGACATTTGTAACCCCAAGGGAGAGAACTTTACCTCCTGTGTGTCTCTGCTATTAGTCACTGGCTTATTGTCATTGTTCTCTAATATGATGTGCCTAAAATTAGCGTTTGGTACATCTTTTATCATGTGCCACTTCACGGGGAAGCTACCATTCCATTTATCTTGCTGCCAGAAATCCATGTCTTTCTGGAAGTCAACAGGACCAGTCATCTCCGCAACCCCACAGAACAGCCCACTTGCATTAACCTATAAAGAGATAAAATCCAATCAGCACAAAGTATGTGTTTTGGTATAGCTTCAGCTTATTAAATAAATGTTTGTACTTGATTTATTTTCAAAACCGAAAAAAGTACTTGATAAACTGTTTATTGACAACTAGGCGCCATTTGGCACCACATCAGCAGAACAGTGAATAAACACTCAACCATTAGGGGAAGCGTTAAAATGAAACTTTCCCCAATGGTCGGTGCGCACATAAATCAAATGCTGATTTGGTGATGACATGGCAGTGTTTGATAAACGCCTATCACAAAACACTCATGGAACAAAACACGCACAAATCAAATGCTGATTTGGCGATGACATGGCAGCCTTTTGATAAATGCCTATCACAAAAAGCCCATGGAACAAAACACACGCAAAAAGAGGAGCTGCAGAAGCATGGCATTGAGTAGAAACAGCAATAATTAAGAATTAGGATGTCTCTTTTGCCTATTCAGGCCAACTGGTTCTGACTTCCTGTATTTTTGAACAATCAAGAACTTGAACAAGATAAATAACACAGAATCACAGCCATGAATTTAGATCAAGCTTGGAGAACAAGGTACTCACAGAGAAGAACAGGAAGACAGGACAACCCCTTGGTTTACCAGCAGCTATTTTCTTTGCATCCTCATATGCACTGTCCAGCCTTTTGTTTCCATTAGGTGTACTTGACCAAACACTATACTTAATGCTCTTATGTACATCATCCTCGCTGTAGGACTTGATTACAAAGAATTTAGCATTTATATAGTTTACTGAAAAATCCTCTCTGTTATACTGATCAGGATATATAGTTATATTTCCTTGTGCATTACTAACCCCAGCCTTAGTTGTGTAGGCCTTAACTGAGATGGGTGATATCCATTGACCTTTTGGTCTGTTTGTTCTAGGTCCCCGGTTCTGTTCTCCCAACATATCTGAACTTCCATTAACACTGTTTAATATTCCTCCATAAGGCAGCCTTGACCTCATCTTATCAGCTGTGGCCCATCCATGCCCATTTGATCCAAAGTCTGACAAATTATGAACAGGCAGTGAAAATTTTAAAGAATTACGAAAAGATGAACCCCTCCCAGGTGACAAGTGATCAGCAGCTTGAATTGCACCTACACCTTTTGCCTGCATTTAGTTCAAATAAAAAGGAAACAGAGAAAAGTTACTGAGACTTATTTAAACAATTGAACCTTCCGTATTTCTAAAGAAAGGAAATGCTTTCATCAATATTGGGAGACAACATAAAGGTTTCCATCCTGGCTGTGCCACACATGCTCCCACAAATACAGGCCAATAGATTGGGCAGGCACCAATGTAAATGATGCCAAAACCCAACTCAAGAGGTGATAATTGCAACCAAACATATGGGTCTCCATAGCAACCATTAGTCAGTTAGTCACCTTTCCACACAATATAAAGAATCCAACTAATTAATTGTTAGAATTATCCAACTGAAGTTGACTACCAACCTACCAGACCTCCATTGAGGACCCATCAGATGGTGGGTCCAAGCTGCCCCATATTTGTGTTATGTGAATAGCACAGGCAGGCAGCATGCTCTTCAATTTCCAAGATGGTGAATATATATTCTCATAAAACATAATGAAAAATATAAAAAAAAGGTGCCACAAATATTCACCTTTTGCAGAAATTAAAGCCTTAAATGACCATAATGCCCTGAAGTCACATATTAAAATTTTTTTAACAGTTTATGACAACGGATGGAACTGTAGTGGTACAGGGATATTGCTTAACTCATGAAATGGGCTAGTTAAATCACCAATGTTGTTATCCTTTATGGAACAAGAACTGATACAAAAACAATACTTTAGAAGCTATAACATAAAAAATACCTGGTTGACAAGTGATGAAACCGAATGGACAGTACCAGGGAGCATACTTCCATGCAATGCAGGCTGCTTACTGGATGTTGCATTCGCGTTTAACACTTCGGATGTCTTAGTCAAGGAATTTGAAGCAGTTTCAACAGGTTCAGCTTTCACATGCCCAAAAGTAGACTTTGTAGGGACAGTGGTTGTCACTATAGATGCTGATGTATAATTATGTTTTAAACTTGGGCCATCAGATCTACTAGCATTTGATGCAGCTGTACTTAACAAAGTGGCGCCTGGTGATCTATTTTGGGCAACATCTGCTCCAGATTGAACAATAATAGGGAAATAGGTAGGTGATGATACAGGCGGATGATAAGTAGGGCTGGTATAATATGGTTGAGTTCCTACGAGCGGGCTATCAATTCCTACAATAGCACCAGGTATGTAAGGATTGTATGGATTGTATGGAGACTGTGCATATCCATAGCTAGGTGTATAATATACATAAGGCAAACTTTCAGTTTGCAAACCCTGCAAAAAAAAAACAATTTGGGTGGGGAAAAAGAGATTAATAATAAGGCATCAACCGTTATTTTAAAGAGGAGAAAAAAAATTAATGCAAAACTACCGCATAATGGAGATCTTGACCATCTGATGCAAAAAACTTGTGGTGGTCATCCCATTCGCCAGGTGATTCAAATCCTAAATATGAATAACATAAGATTAGGCCACACTCATGTAAGGATCATGAATTAAAAAAGACAAGAATGAAGTTTACCTGTACAGTAATACCCATAATAATCGGTGGCAGTAGGATAGTATATGCCCTGGTCAACAATGAACTCAGGGACGCCTTTGTTGTCCATAATTTCAATTTGTTCAAGAGGTGGAGCTATTAGATGCGGATTTGACTCATTACCTTGAACCTGTAAACCAGTAAATGGAAATGTTGTTAAAACTTACAAAACAACTTAAGAATTGATTCAAGAGAGTCCATTAATCATCGGTAGTTGGATATTAAACATCCATCCTCCAGAGACATATCTTGCCTCATGAGCAGAGGATCAGGACCCACCATTTCTTCATGAACCAATGAGAAAACCTAGGGCAAAGTCAGCAAGACCTCTTAATAATGGTTTGCAATTTCTTTTTAGTGCTTCTTCAGAAGGGGTTTTCCTCTTTTTCACACTCCTAACGATTAGAGAAAATTATCACAAACGAGACTACATTGAAAACCACAGTTCATTTGATCCTAAGAACTGAGACTACATTGAAAACCACTCCCAGTTCAAGGAATGTTTTATTAAAAAAGATAAACCCCGCAATAGATAAGAAATTACCAGATGTTTTTCTGTACTTCCATGTGCAGAACCATTATACCTTTCCATGGCGGGACTGCCACCCCTGTAGAAGATGACAAGTCATAACTCATAACGCAAATTGAAAACAAAATCCCAAAAAGAAAGCATACAGGTGCAAGAAGAACTTGAATTTTTTTAGATAAGTAAGAAGAGCCTGGCTTAAAATCAAATCCTGTTCGTTTTGGGGGGGGGGGGGGGGTTAGAATATCAAATTCTGTTTGGGAAAAAATAAAAGTACGGAGTCTGACTTAAAATCAAATGCAGCCTAGTGAAATTGGGGAAATGCGTATAAGATAAACAAACAACCCAACACACAAAAAGGGCATGAAGAGTTCTGGTTATAAGACACGTATAAAGAATTTCAATGACTAAATGAACATAAATTAATTGGTTCTGAATGGCGATACCATAACATCAATCGCTACTAGGCAAAAAACCTCACAGTGGAGAAAAAGGATAAAAACTGAAGGAGAATTGAAAGGGGAAGGTATATTTCTCTTTAAGGTGCGGGGGACCGACATAGCGAAAACTTTGAAAAGGCCGGCACTAAGATTTTATAAGAAGGGATACTTCACCAATCTGCAATGAAATCGATTCTTAAATAAAAAGAATACCTTACATGAATGATGCACCTTATCAAAGGATAACCTAACTAGCAAAAAACCTATACTAGCAGAGTAGCAGTTACTTCCACTTCCACTTCGTCTCTCACTGTCGACAATTTCTCTATAAAACCCACTTTCCTCGCCCCAAAACAACTAAGGAGAGACGCAAGATTGCGAAATTCACAGAAAACTTGTGAGTCCCTTGCTAATTTAATAAAGCTGATCTAAGGAAGAGTTGAAGAAGAACTAACTTCAAACAAGTTAGGGGAAAAGTACCTGGAATAAAAACCTAATTCAAGCCATGCGTGGATTGGATGAAGGTTATTCAGGAGAAAACAACGGAGAATTTCTTCGGAAAAGAAGAGGTCGGTTCCTGCATCATCCTTCTGTCGAAGCAGAAACGCCTCGGAAACCCTAACTCTATTAACACGGGACAGAAGTGGGAAGGGGAGCCTCTTCACAACCAAAATAAAAAGGGGTATTAAAATAAGGGCAGAGACGACCAATTTGTTTTGTTTCGGTGACGGTGGAATGTGGAGAGCGAGCGAGAGTTCCCAAAACCCAATGGCGAGTTCTCTAGGGAAGCTTTGCTGTTCAGTGAAATACCAAAGTTACCCCTATATCTTTCACAAAAGACATCTGTACCGCCAACGACAATTTCGGTTTTCTCTCCCTTCTCGGCTACTCTTGCTATCCGCTGGAGTCCAGCGGCTGGAGTGCTGCTGCTAAGCAATGTAAATTTACAGTGTTACCCTTGTGGACGGCCATTTGAATTCTTGATTTCGTAACCACATCCGGATGCAACTTTTGCATGCGCGGATGCGCCGCGTTGAGAGTAAATAGACTGTTCTACCCTTCGAGTTGTAGTCATGATTCATCATGGATGGAGATGGTCGCCTGTCTCCATGTCTATAGAGTATAGACTGCCACGTCATCCAAATAAATGTGGACGCCTCTTTATTTTTTATCAAACCACATTTTGTTTGTTGGGCCGTATTTGATCCAGCTTTAAGCTGTTCTAAATTTATTAATCTATTCCTACTGTTTGCCAAATTACTAATTCCACGTCTCCACCTTACTATTTAGCTAAATAAAATACATTTAGCTATTTAAATTTTAAAATATATTTAAGTTGTTATAAATTAGTCCTTCACTCACTGTTTATCAAATTTTTAAAATAAAACCCTAATGATGAATAAATGAATCTAAAATCATATCATCGACGACGCGAAATTTTCCAGCCAAAACTGGACTCCCTCCTCATCTTGCATCAACAATTCCTCCAACTGATCCATCCATCCCCAACCACCAATTCTGTACTCAAATTAAGAGAGTGAACAAATCCCTCGTCTCTCTCCTTTCTTCCTTTGTTTTTTCGGAAAGGGTGGTTGAGATGAGAAAGAACTGAAACCTCCCAACGGGGCAATAGGCATGGAAACTGAAGTGGGTAACTACCACCTTTGTTGTCCACATCGTGCAGGTTAGATTGGATCCACCACTCAATTTGAAACTGAAGTGGCTATTGGTTTTTTTTGGATAATAGTATATAAGGGCAAATTTTGGGTTCTAATATCAATAAAAGTAATATTTTAAAAAAATTAATAGGGTAACTTTTGAAAAATAATATCAATAAAGGCCAGAATCACTGTTCATCTTCTTCCTCTTGCAGTCTACTCACCAGCGCAGCCACTCGCCGCCACTTGTCGCCGCCCACCGCCGCTTCCAACAACGCCTCCGCCTGTCTCCGCCCACCTTTGCCTCCACTTCTGGCAACGTTGCCAGAGGTGGGTAGAGGCAGAGGCGACAGCGACAACACTGGTGGTTATTTCTCTGCCCAACACTGCCGCCGCCTCTGTCTCCACCCACCAGTACTGGGTTTTTTTTCCTTTCTTTGTTTAGAACATGAGAAACGGTATAGGGACGGATGAGAGATATAGCTTAGCTCAGCTCTAGCCTCTGTAACAGTAATGGGTTGGGATGTCAGCTATGGCGTTGAACCCTTGAGAATATGGGAATTGTATCATGTTCTTTTGCCTGCAATTCATATAACAAATCACAATCTCAATCTCATTACCTTCACTCAGATTCCATCTCTCTCTCTCTCTTCTTAGCCCAGCTTACCGTCCGTCCCTTCCCTCACCTCACAATTATCCTTCCACCACCAGTGCCTACAACATCAACAGTAGCAGGAACTATCTTCAACTACCCACTAACAATGCATCTCTCCACCTTCAAAGGCCATTCCTCTTAGGTTTTCTCCCTTGTCCTCACCGGGAAGTTCCTTTGCAGTAGCTCTTCTAATGAAGAGATCTGAGTTTGGCCACAGTACTCACCCATACCAACAACTGCCGTTAATGCCCAAGAACCGTCTCAGACCAACAACGTGGTTGCTATCGGCCGGCAAGGGTGCAGTTAAGTCTCTTGTGGTCTCCGACGACCAATTATTCAGTGCCCACCAGGACCAGCCATGGTACTTACCCATACCAACAGCTAACGCTGATGCCCAAGAGTCATCTCAAACCAACAACATGGTTGCTGTCGGCAAGGGCGCAGTTAAATCTCTTGTGGTCTCTAGCGATCAACCATTCAATGCCCACCAAGACCACAAGATCCGTTCAGAAATCGAAGAAGATCGACTCACTACGTTGAATCCACCATTTGTCGCCTCCTCATCATCGTCGTTGTTGCAACTTGCAATAGCGGCGGACCTCTCTAGCAGCGGCTCTCTCTCTCCCCGTTCCTTTGTTCTCTCTCCCTCTTGCCCATGTTTCATCACTGCATGCCCAAGATGAAGTGATGAACTGCGATTCTCTCTCTCTCACTACAGTGGATGTGGACAAAAGAGCTCACATTAGCTAGACTACTGGAGACGAAAACCGCGGGTTCTATTATGTTGGGTTCAAATGTCGGAGCAACGCCTAAGAACGCCGATTGATTGCTATAGTGGAACAGTTGCACCACCCAAGCCAAGGCTTTGTTGGAGTCTGTCATGTTTAGAGATGTTCATAAAGGTATTTTAGGAATTTTAAAATAATTACCACTCACGTGATGTCACATGTGAACGGAGTGTGATGAAAAGTTAACAATAAGCGAGGTTTTAGGCAATTATCAGAAAATTAAGGGTATTTTAAGACAATAGCTAAACAGTAAGGTGGAGTTAGTCAATTTCACAAACAGTTGGGATAGTTTAAGAGATTTACCCTTCATGAAAAGATATTCCCAATATACGGTGGCAAGATGTAAAAACAATTTATAAATAGCATATCCAAGTGATATTTTTATACCCTTTGGATGGTGTTTGGTGTGGTTTTCGTTTCTTTGATAAATGGTGCAAGTTTATTGTTATTTAGGCAATATTTGTATCAAAATGTTATTTGATAAGCCTCTTTATCCAATAAATGTTTATCTCGATTTACGTGCAAGCCAACTTTTGGGGGAAGCTTCATTTTAACATTTTCCCCAACACCATAGTGTTTATTTATTGCTCTTCTTATGTGATGCCTAATGGTGCCTAGTGGTGCCTAATTGTCAATAAACAATAGAAAAACATTTACAAATAACTTTTCCTTGATTTTGAAAAATCAAATATAAACGTTTTTTAAATAGATGGAAACCATACCAAACATCCCCATGTTAAACTTGTTGGATACGTAAGCAAGCCAGTTAAAAAATGCATCCCTCAACAAATAGAGATTATTAAAAATGTTGTGGGATTCAGATCGGATTGGATGGTTGGAACATCAAATTCAATAACCAGGGATTCTAACTTTTAGTTTTTTTTTCTATTAATCGGGGCAAACAATTAAAAATCAGCAGCCAATTTTCAACAACCCACCTGGGGTATGGAAGGGAAAAGCATAAGGACCTTTTGGTAATAACCAAAATGTGGGGAATTAAATGCACAACCTCATATTTATCAAAAAAAAATCATATGGGAGAGAGGAAACAAAGGCCCTCTTTGGCAATGTTCTATGAGAATGTTTTTATCGTTTCTGGTGTTTTTACGGAGCAAGAATGCATTTAGTACAAGAAAACTAAAAAAAATAAGGTATTCTCGCGTGAAAACAACACCCAAGAGTGAAAAATCGACTCTCGAAGAACGCATTCTTAGGGAACGTGCGGTTCCCACAACGTTAACCCCTATTAACGAACATGTGCCATCAACTCCCATGTGAGAGAAGGGGTATGTTGGGTATTACATGAGAAATGATAGAAACAAGCCCTAACAACCACATTTCATTCAACACTTCTCGTCCCATTGTCATTGCACATCTCAAAGGAAGGAGGGATTCTCTTGCCTCCTACTGCGTAAACAACTGGATGGCGAGCGAATGGTAGAAAGCATCAACAACATTTTCAACCAAGAATGTGTCAACAGGTAGGTTGTATTCATTCTCATCATACTTGGTTTTGTATCGTCATTGTTTTATTTTAAACTCATCATTGTTCCGGCCAAATTCACCCAAACTTGCATCTCCCATCACAATCATCTCTAGCCAATGCGAGTTTCCATATACCTACAATCTGAAATCATTTTTTATATTATTTTGTTTACATTTGTTGAATATCGTGAAATTTAGGATAGTATGTTATGTCGAATGGGTGGGTTTTCTTCTCTAACCCCATTGATGGTTTCATTATTTCATCTAAACTCATTGTTAAGATTGTCTTTTGTTATGCCTTCTATTATGAACCTTTGTCCATGAGTTGGATTGGTGTCAGAATGTTCTATTTGAAAAAAAAATCCTAATGGTTTATACATCCAATCAAAACAATCCTAATGGTTTATACTCTTTCTTACCAATCTGATGCAAGATGAACATTTTAAAATTGAAAAGAAAAAGAAGAATGGATGAAACAATAAGGGAATTAGCAGTTCTATGGGAATGAAAACCTAGAGAAACTAGTGGAAATCAGTAGTTCATATCTTTTGGAGGAATGACATTGTCAAGTAGGTCTAGTATTGGTACCAAATATTAAAGAAGCTGAAGGTTAAATTTTTTATTTTGATAACCTCTGCATGTAAATGTGCTTGTGTTTTGTTTTACTTGTACTTTTTATGAAGTATGAAAGTCAAAAATCAACACCCAATTTGTGCTTGTGGGCGTGACCAGATGCATCTGTGTATGGCAAAAACAGAAAGAAATTACAAACGGTGGTTCTATCGATGCCCTACAGGAGTGGTACATCTCTTATCAGTTATATGTTTTTTGTTATGAAATATTTTGGATATTTAAAGTTTTTATAAGCAAGCACACAAAAATGATTTCACTTGGGTAGACCAATTCATACCTCGTGATGGTGGCAGACATGTTGAAGTGCGAGAACAACTAATTGCACGAAATAGGGACCAATTTGTAGCCATTATTGCCTGCGTTTGTTGTTGCATCATGGCATGTTGGGCTTTTATTTTATTATTTGTATGTTTTGTTTTGATCGTCAAGTAATCAAGGATTAGGTGGTGACAACATGAAGACATTGCTATGACATGACACGTGTTTTTTATGTGGATGGATTTCCAAAATTGAAGTTAAAAAATAATTCCATTATCCAAACGGTATTTCTGTTCCTATAGAATAGAAAATCGTTCTCGAAGAACAATTTG